CCGCCCGCCCTCCCAAAATCTTTTCCTGATACAATTCTGCCCATCAACAATATGTGGCGACTTACCTTTCTTTCAGTTGGACATAAGCCGTTGCCATGTTGTTCCAAGCCTCGTAATTCTGCAACAGTTCAATTTGTATTGATACATGTATATAGTATTGACTACTGTTAAACTTGTTTTTGTCTAGTTCAAATTTTCACTGTTTTCCTAGTCAATACATATCAGGAAAAAAATATTAAATCTGAGGATATTTCATTTCTTGGTATAAGTTTTGGTCAGATCATGTATAAAATCATCCTAAAATAACTGACATAATAATAACAATAATATACAACATTTGATATAGCGCCCTATCTAGCTATCATTGCCACTCCCAAGCACTTTACAGTACATGGATATACAATTAATACAATTACCATATGCATTTATCAATACAATTTTGAGAAACTCTCAGAAGCTGCCTCATCAGGCGCTAACTACTAGTCCTATGCCACCTAGCTCATATCTCCCTATGTGTTTATGCCTGCATGTGTGCTGGAGATGTAATGTGTGCTATTTTGTAGTGGGACCATGATTCCGACGATATCATTTATAGTGCCACCTCACTTGAATGCTACAGCACAGATACCGAAACATCCACCCCAGACCGATTTAAACTCAACCTGGGTTGTTGGACAGACCAATGTAAACTCCACCTGGGTTGTTGGAGTTATGTAATAATACTTACATCATAATCAATGTTGACACACATTTTGAAGGCATGCACAGCTTTTTCATACTTCTGTGCTGACAGAGCGGTACATCCACAGGTAAACCAGACGGGCACCTTTGTAGAAAAAGACAGAAAATGAATTAAGATGTTATAGAGGAACAGTGGTCTTTCCTCCCCTAACAGATCTGGACCAGATCATGATCAATCACTGCTACGAAGCAGACCTGGAATAGGTCAGTTACTGATAATTTGCAGAGTGCCCATCCACAAAGTCCTGATTTTAAAATTGAATTTGGAATTACGACACTGACAGATGCTTTCACAAAACCAAAAGTTACTCTACTTGTTTTTTTTGTTAAGATTTTTCTCTCATAGATTTCAGGCCTAGTGATGACCATGTACCATATAGAGTGCTCCAGTAAGGAAGAATTCATTATGTAATTAAATGTTTGGTTTGTATTTTCTCTAGAAATATTTGAATGCAAACATCATTGAAAATCAAAACCTTGCAATTTTATTTGTTTAAACCCTTACAATAGCTTGAATTTGAATAAAATATCAAAACAATCACATATAAAAACAACCTTACCTGTAGACAGTTAATTTTCAGGGATTTATCAAAGCATTCCAAGCTCTTTTCATACTGAAAAGGAAATAAAAGTATGAGTTAAACAAGATAAAATACTGAAGGCTGAGTTTTTTTTATTTAAACAAAAATTTCAGTCAACAATTACCGAATCCTTGATCTGGTTCAAACCTGATTGAATTAATCAGCTGTTAACACAAAATCTCATAATCTTATTTTTAAAAACATATCTAAAATTTACCAATGTTTTTGTATTTCTTGTCTGTGGCTGATCTTTTTGAGGTTTTCTATACATTCAAGTTAAATTCTGAAGTTTTACATTTTTGAAAATGTACAAGATGAAATTTTTGTCACTAAGATTATAAGGTTTTGAAGTGTATGTTGTATTAACAACTTTAGTATTAACAGTTTTTTCTTCACGATTAATTGGCTTTTCAGCTATCAACTAAAATTTATGAATGCTGTTTTTTGATGGAAAACCGATTGGATGCTGTTTATGTGTTTTGAAGAAATAAGTTATACTTTACCTAAAGATTTTTAAAAGTAAGAGTTATCAAGAGCAAACATATTGCATACTTGCCAACGTTTTGAAATTTCCATGTGTATGTTCTATACACTCTAGGTGGAAAAAACACTTTAAATGGCAACCTTTATTGAAAATGCTCCATTTTTTGGCCCAAAATTAAGAGCCTCCCTCCACAATAGGGAGAATTGGCAGGTAAAACGTAAGGAACAAATTCATCTCTTATAATGTTAATACATAGTAATACATAGTTAACAAGTTATAGTATATACAGCCTACTTTCTTAAGGTAATGTGCAACAATATGTTGCCCAACTTAACCGACAGCAGACCGACTTACATCTTCATGAGCGAAGTAGTGATATGCCAGACACCTCATAGCGCGGGCACTTTTGTGATTGGACAACTCCCATGCTTTTTCATAATGAGTAATGTCCCTTGTCACATCACCGAGATAACACAACAGACTTGCTGTTTCTTTTATTGCTAACTGTTCTCTGATCACATCCTCAGCCTGAAAACAGTCAACGAAATCAAAGTTAAACACACCGGGTAAAAATAGGCGATAATCTTCAAAGTCTGGCTGTCATGTTGGAAATATTCATTAGTTGGCATGCATACCTTTTAACCCCCTTTCACAAAGAAGAGGGGGAAGACGAAGTTATGATGCCCCACCATCCCAACACTGGAAAAATTAGTGTGGGGGAGTGGGGTGTAAAAATGTATATAAATGACCAATTTTTGCCTCCATAATTGATAATTGCAGACATGGAGGTCATTGTGTGTGCAATGACACATCACATTTTGGTTTAATTATGTTAACTTTCATGCATTATCTTCATTATCACTTAATTTCTATTAGAAGTCCATTTTGTAAAAAAAACAATTGTAGTATATCAGATATCATTAATTTCCTACCATATAACATACCTTTTCCATTTTGCCAAGACGTTTGTAACAAGCAATGACCTGTTCCCACATCTGTAACTGTTCATAAGCATCCAGGGCAGATCCCACTGCTCCAATGCTCAATAGGAGATCTGCAAGGTCCATCTGGAAACATTGAATTCACATAACAGTTTGTTATACAACATTGTCTGGGACATTTCAAACATCTATTATGCACCCACTATGTTTCTGTAAACATTATATTCGTACAACAATTTGTTATATAATATTATCTGTGGCATTTCAAGCATCAATTATGTTTCTAAAAACATTCTTTTTCTTTTTGCGTAAACAAGATAATTTCCTAAAAAGGTGTACCTACAAACAATGATTAATTGATAAACAAGATACCTTATTTTATTTGTTGGTTTTACATTGAATAATTTTCACTAAAATTTGAAATACATACACTGTAAATACACAAGACAAAATAGATACACTACTTAAAATGACAAAATTAAACACAATGTATATACAAAAGACAATAAAAATATCTACATGCATATGACAGTAAGACAAAATACTCTCACATGTATACATAAAACAAACAAAAAGGTTAAAGGACAAAATACACACACATGATGCAAAACAATGCAACTTGACTTAATTATTGTATCAAAAATAATATAGATTAAATATCTTGCATGTGCTTTCAGCCAAGGATAGATTAATATATGAAAAATGAATTCCAATGTGGTTCATTAATGGTAGATTCGATTCTCTTTAAATATCAGTCTAGAAAATGACTTGCTTTACAGAAGTGTCTGTAATCCGTGTTATATATAGATGTATTTGATATATTGATATAATGGATAATAACTTGTCTCCACATAATGAGCAGTATAGTTACCTTGATCATCCATGAAGATTGAACTCTGTGGCAGTAAAACAGGTGGAGTCTGTGCTGGGCTGGAGGTTCTGGTCGATTTATCTGGTTAACTATCTCCTGTAACAAAAGCATTGTCAGGGCCCTTTATGTCTCAGTGTGGGATAGGTGACAACCCACAATCCTGTGGGCGGCCACATGGCTAAATGTAAGATAGCTAATAGTACGTGTTCACAATCCTATGGTTGACTTCATGACTAAATGTGAAATAGGTAAGGATGGTGGGAGGATTGGGCTTTGGTTCACAATACTTTGGTTGACCACCTGATGAAATTTGGGATAAAATCATTATCCTATGGAAGGTCTTGTGACTAATGGTGAAATATCTCAGGGCTCACAATGGTATAGGTGACAAAATCAATTCACAATGCATTGGGGGAGCTTCATGACTAAGCTTGCGGTCAGTGAAAATTCAAAACGCAATGGGGAGAGGGGGGGGGGGGGGGGGGGGGGGACAGGTGTCAATAGTAAGGCCTCATGTAATGGGGGTACATGACTCAGTGTAAAATAGAAAAAGGTTTACAATTGTATTTAAGCCTAGTTACTTAAAGTCTAATCAAATATTGCTTGTATTAAACTCCTTTCCTACATCTCCTGGAATGTAATATAAAGTTGTTTTATGATATGTAATAAGTTTGAATTTCTACACTCACCTCAACTTGCATCATGGATCTTTCCACGCGCCGACAGCTGCCCTTCTGTAAGGTTGACCTTAAGACCAGGCAGTGAACAGATGTTGACCAGCACTTCACTTGGGCCAGCACACACTAAAACACATCAATCATATCATCTAGAATGTCACAATACCTGTACATATAACACACTACATACACAACACATCGTGACACTCTTACACAACTCAAACACTTACACAGCGAAGTGTAACACAAAAAAACCTGTTACACTACAAAATAATACATGTCTATCAACAAAGTTTTCTTCATCAACATATAAAATTACCATACATCTGTCACAAATCTCGCATACGGAAGTGATTCTGTCTAAAATTTCTTTGAATACTTATTTGTTTCAGGAATATTAATTCATCCTTACATCAGAATACTAGCAGATAATTCCTAACAAAAATATATAGATGTCTCTTTCACACGATTCTGAGATTTATATAATTTTAAGTTGTTTCTAAATGAATTGTGCGTGATTAAAATTATGTATAACGTAAATCTGCAATGTGTCTCACTACACTCACAGATGTATAGGCCTCTAACTCCTCTTCTGTCAGTCTTTCATAGCTAGCCCGGCTTCGTCTATAGTCCTCCCTGAAACATCAGAGTTTTGACATTTATAATTGTTTCTGTGTTTTCCAGTTCCTGGCACCAGATAAAGCTTAACAATGCTAAACCATCCCCTGTCTTATCTCGACTCCTAGCTATCCTGGTAAGGTTTGGATATCTATCATAGCATTCCCTCTCTTAAAGATCCCTGTCTCACTGTAACAAAACACTGTGACTATTGACTCCTAGCTATACTGGTAAGGTTTTGGATATCTATCATAGCATTTCCTCTCTTAAAGATCCCTGTCCCACTGAAACAACACACTGTGACTATTGACTCCTAGCTATACTGGTAAGGTTTGGATATCTATCATAGCATTTCCTCTCTTAAATATTCCTGTCCCATTCTAACAAAACACTATAGAATTATTAAAACTGTAGTTTTCCATACATAAATTATCCTCCCGTTGATATCTGTTTGGCTATAACTGCAGCGTGACTGGACCAGTGTACTCCTGTTGACCAGGTAGCTCAGCTGTCTAGAGCGAAGAACGTATAATGATCAAAGGTCCTCGGTTTAAATCGTGGCTAGATCATTTTTATGTTTCTTCATTTCATATAAAAAAAATATTGAAGTTAGACAAGATATTTTTTTCTATTCAGAAATGATTTATCAAAGCGATACTCATGCTGGAAGAATAGTTTCCAGTGCATATAGTCATAGTTTTTGACAGAGATACAGGGATTCTTAAATATAGTACATCATCCTTGTCTTATCCGGATCATGTATACTTTCAAGTCTTCTCCTTCAAAACGTGATACATTGTATTTTGTATGAAAATATGTAATAACCTTACATTTAGTGAGATATATTGTTAATGATTAAATCTTCAAATTGAATATTTCCTTCATTTAGTGTATTAATTCAGTGCTACATTTAAAAAAAAATCAACTTAAATGCATTGGTATTCAAAATTATGTTAAATGGCATTTTATGTGAATTTTATGGACAAATGTCAGACTGAACTGCCAGGAGGCCACTTACATCACCCCTACAACTACAGCCTGGTCTACTGGTGAAATGGTGTCAGCAAAGTGTTCATCATCTTCAAATTTGATGGCTTCAAGCACTGTCTCATCACCTAAGAGTAGGTCCTGTGGTTGAACAGTGACAGAACAAACTGTTAATGCTTTCTACAACATACACTAATACTTAATAGAGGTAAGTGTACTCAACAGTGTTTTACAGTTTCTTTCGGAATCTGACTTAAGAACAATGTTGAATGCTGCATCTGGGAAATAGTTGGTATAAAAGTGCAAATAAACAAACCAGACTATCTAGTCAGTAAAACGTTCCATAACAAACCTGTCATGTCAAAAAATTGTTTTAAACCCTCCTGATATATGTTAACATTTTTGTTGTAAGAACGACTTCAGAGGAATGGGGACAACTCTAATATAATCATTTCATTATTACCCGATATTAAAATAATTATTATGTCTACATTGTGGTGATACAATCAATGTTGAGCTCATAGTTTATGGGCACCATACGATAACCATTAACTTGATAATATCCCCATCGGCATCACTTACAGAATGTTGTTTTTTCTATAAACTGTAAAATATCAGTAATATTAGCTCACTTTTGGCAAGATGATATTCTCTGGAGATGGTATTAACTCTTCTCCACATGGGGAAGCCTGCAAAGAATCCTTTTTGACTTTAAGTACCAGCTGAGCCTTAGCATCCTGCTGGAAGCGGGTCCTTTTTCCCATGGCACCTAGTCAAGTCAAACACATATATTGTTATTAGTGTTCATTTCATCTAGAGCTTCTCACCATTCCCAGCACCTGTTCAAGAGTGTTTTTTCAGGAGTGCGTTTTCTGTTACTTTGGGATGGGGCCTTTTTCATATCTCGTTTTGGGAAGAAAATATACCAATATTGGGAAGGAAAATTTCAGCAGTAAACTGCAAATTTTGGGAATTAGGTATAGATATGAAATAGGAAATGGGGCCCTTTATCCAACCGAAAAAAAAGGCCCCAGAAAAACACTGTCAGGGGATTATATTTAAAAAAATAAAAATATTATTCCATGTATACTGAAAATTTATTTCAAAATATTTTGTAGAAAAGGAATGATACAACAAACAGCTGTTGAAGGTACAAGCTTGAAGTGGTGGCTTATTATAAATGTTATAGCACTCATTGAAACATAAAATTAACTGTCTTCAATTAACTAGTGTCTGTAATATAATCAACAAGCAAATTTCTATCAAAATATATGAAACCAGAAGTCACTCGAAATGTGCAGACTATTTCATGGCAAAACAGGAAGAAGAAAACAGAGCAATAAGAAATGAGGTAAAAACATTAACTCTTCCCTACTTTGTTAGTGATGTTTTACAAAGATTCTACATGTACCTGTAGATCTCAATAGCTTACCTGTTAATTCAATGTCCAGACCAGCATTTTTTTTGGCTGCCATGAAATGTTCATGAGCCATATTGTACTCGTAGTAGTACATGGTACAATATCCTGCTTCCAGTCGGAACTGTGTGGCAAGATCTCTGTAACACAATTACTGTACAATAAGTATGACAAGTTAAGTCTCAAATATTAGAGATTATGACACTGAGTATTGCAAGTTTTTCAAGACCAAAGGGTAAACATTTAGCATGGCCAGATTTTAATTTTTATATCAGCTAGAATAAAAATAAGTCCAGTGTGGAGGAGCTCCATTGGAAATTAACTTTCATTTTTCATTTTTTTTTCAAATGATACATACTGTTTCTGTATACTAAAAAGGTTCTTATTATTTTGTGTTTTTATAATATCATTTTTCTTCATTTTCATGGTCAATATATATTTCAGCAAAAACAATGCATTCCATGAACATATTTGTCTCTCCAGGAAACAGTATACAATCAACCATAACATTTTCCACCAGCCATATTTCTGCCCTCTTGGTTTTTTTTGTAAAATAACATTTTACTTTTTTTCAAACTAATTTCTTAAGTGTTGAATTCACTTTTTGTTCAAAGGTGAAAATTGAGGTAAAAAATAAAATGAGGTGAAAATGTAATCGTTTTCAGCATTAAAATTTATAACAAGATTGGATTCATATAATATATGTAGTGTAAAATGAATCATGTAAATTGTAAATCCACAATATACTGAACCAGTGGGAAAACCAGCTTTACAGTAAGACAAACCAGCACAGAGAACATTATCAACAAGAAGTTAATTACTTAGGGATGCAGTCTACAACAGATGCTCAATTTAACAGATCTAACTTAGCAGGACGGGAGGATTTACCTGCTTTTGTCATCTGTAAGTAATGGTTCCAACTTTGAGACTGAAAATAAATTGTATAAAAAATGTACTACATTTGTACACAATAATGTCTTCTAAAAGAACATTACCAGGGTCATTTTAAGATTTATACATGCAAACTACAATAAATAGATGAAACTTTTTTTCTTCTAATTATGTACATTAAATCCAATATTTATATATTTTTCAAATCAAATCTCTTGCCTTGTGTTCAGTCACTTTACAATCACAGTCAGTCTAATGCAGTATATATACAGGATCTCAAAGAAATTCAACATTTGTAAGTTGGAGTCTCAACGTATCAAATTTTTCTTGAAGGTCCCGTAAAGTTCGAAACATCGAAGTTTGACTTTAATATCAAGAGAGCATTTTTAATTATTTTGGGATACAAATGATGTAGCCTTTGTACTGATGAATGCCTGGGAACCTTCTTACCTCTGTCTATGAGTTCTAGTGTCGTCTCCTTTAGTGTAGGAGATCTATCATCCAACACCTGCTGTAGGACAGAGATACACCTCAACAGCCACCAGTCTGCTGTCTGTAATTAAAACATCGGCCATTAGAGAACAGCACATGGGGAGAAAACCTCAGACCATTTTCCATTTGACATTCTTTGAATGTTATCATTCATGAGAAAATACCTCCAGTTTGATCTAAGTTTCCAATATAGCCTGATAAACATATGTGGATTTGTTGAGGTAACATTAAGTATGTACATACCTGAAGGTTTTTGAGATGTTCTCTACAATCCAGCAAGATAAAGCGGGCCACAAACAACAGTTCAATACGTAGACATTTATCATAGACTGGCTCCCCATCCATAGACAGCTCCTCCAAAACATAGTTGTGTAGCTTTTTAAACTAAAAAGAATTCCCTCATATTATTTTAACATCTGCTCAGAAAACAAGAGGTCCAAAGGTCTTTTACTAACCATTTTTTTTTCAAATCTATTCTTCTGTTTTACATTTGAAAAAAAAAGGTCTATATATACATAAAAAAATAAATCCATGAGAAGTCAGAAAAAAACACAAAGACTAGGAAATATCATTTTGAATGGTTATGCAGGAATAATGATTATAGTGAATGTGAAAGATGACGGCTCTAGAAACAACATGATGGCTCCTATTGAACAAACATAGATCTGTACCCCTAGTTAAGTTCAATATAACATATACATCATACAAATAACTATTTAATGGTTTTTATGGTTCTTATGAAGTCACTATTTAACAAATTCTAATTCTATGATCATGAAAAAAGGCCTCGATCATTAAGTTGATCACCCTTCATCCAAAAAATAGCTACCGGTACAAATGTTTCATCTTTATACTCTGCTCCAAAGAAGTTATATGTAAATTCAAAGCAAATCATTGCTTAAGCTAAACGATCATATAGTGTGACATATTCTGTACAATTTTTATTTTATCTATCATGGACATACTTATGGATCCATTTCTGTTCATGGAATCTGATTTGTAATAAATTATTAGTTTAAAATGGATCTGAGGAATATTCCAACAATGATGACAAATTGCTGTACATTGCTGCAATTTTGTTTGTTTTTAAATAACAAGAACAGTGATTTAGAATGTCCTTGAACACATTTATTGATGGATGTTTTTGATGTTACTCCCCCTTTTCAAATAAGTTTGCCCTCAAATATTATTTCAACCCAGGTTCTAATGCCCAGATACCACAGGCTACAGTCACCATTTATTACAGGAAAGAGAGTAGTGTGCTTCCACTGGGGATCTACTAGCGACCCCCAGCTTCCCAGTCTACCACTTTACCATATGAGGTAGGGAGAAATTCCATCAAGCCCGAAGCTAGAAGGTTAACCTAATACAGTTAAAATCTGGCACCAACTCCACAGTGAGGCTTTACCTTCTATAGTGTTTTTTGAATATGAAATTATTTTTTGACTTTCTAACATGATGGCATTTTAACATAGAGAATTTCTAAATGGTAGCAAAAAAGAAATTATCTCAACCTGTTCTGGTGAAGAAAAAATCTCGGGAAGATAATCAGATGGCACAGACTGAAGAGGTGGCCCAGTCCAGTTACCCTGTACAAACAACTGTAAGCAGGATATGGCCACACAGAGTAACTCAAGCTCACTGCAACAGACAAGTCAGGTATTAGTTTTACATCTCTTTCAATAACAAATCTATGACCCAATTGTTAAGGATTATCTTTGATAAAAACACTTTTGTGACCTTATTTTTCTCCCTAAAAAGGGAAACAATTTGAAAAAGCTTCACATATCATATATACATATTTTTTATATTGCTATATATTTAAGCAGTTGGATAATTTTTGGAAACTCTTTGTAACCTTTGATCTATTTGGAAAATGAATATCAGTGCTGTCATGCTAATATTGAAAGGCCTGTTTTGAAAAAGAGTACCAAATTTGCTACACACAAATGTATTTCTCTATTTACTGAAAATACTATTTTGATTATATCACTGAAATACTTTTTGGCAAATCTGATTAAATAACTAGAACTAGACTTGATAAAAAAGGGCACTAGAGACTACATTTAACCCTAACAAGGGAGTTGTTTGGTAATTTACAATTCTTGGTATTTGGGATTTAACACAACTTGTTTTTTGCCAGATCCAACAACCTATTCGAAAGGTCTATTCATATTTTTTTTTATGATTTTTTAATACAAGACATCTTCAGTGCAATACAAATGATGGGTAACTAGGAAACAGCAGATGCTTATTTTTGTAATTTGGCCACAATTAATTTGAGATATGTTAGCCATATGGGTTCAAGTGCCTAGTAGTTGATCATAGCTATTCTGGAAACGAAATTGCCAATTAACCTCATCATGATCACTTTACCTGGAAAATCTGTTTTCCTCTGCAAAATCATTAAAAAAGTTGTCGACGTTTTCTTTTATGATGGTTTCAATGCAGTTCTTGACGCCTTTGTTTCTCTTCAAAATTCTTTCAGCAATGGAATGGCTTAATGCACTTTCATGTTTTCCATCAAGAATGTACTTGAAAAGCTCTCTGCATTGTTGATCTGAAAAAAATACCAAGACTACTTTCATAAATGTACATATAATATCATGTACAGTCAACACTTTACTTCTCAACTTTCAACAACAAAGACCTATGGCACTGGCACCTTACTGCTTGCATGTTTCTTTCCTATCTACTGTTATATATCATATATATGTGGCAGGTTTTGATTGTAAATAGGATTAAGGTTGCCTTCTAGCTACAAGCTAGAGGGAATTTCCCTTTACCTCAGTGGTAGAGCGTTCGACTAGGAACCTGGAGATCGAGGGTTTGATCCCCAGTGGAAGCACACTATATATTCTCTTTCCTGTTACATGTACTATTTGACTAATAGTCTAATACGTTGAAATGTAACAAAATACAAAATACTTCTTAAACATCTTGACATGTACAATTGTCATTTACTCAGATGAATGGCTAAGGAAAATGGGTCATCACATTTAATGCTCTGTGGTACAAAATTTCAAGCAGGTGTGCTTGCCAACCCCTGGGTGAGTGCTTGGCAAAGAGATACCAAAGTCTGGGTTGTAAATAGTTGTGTTTTCAGGGGCGAACACTTAGATATGGGAGGGAGGAATGTAGCGCGCCTGGACTTGGTCAATCGTCAGCAACAAGGTAGAGCATCCGTCTAGAGTTAGGAGGGTCCTAGGTTCGAATCCCTGTCTAGACGTTTCATTTCTCTTTCTTCTGTATCAGTGTAAACATGACATGAACATGTTTGTCCCCATTTCTTGTACTATTGTTCGAAAACATGATCTTTTTATTTTACTTATAATGAAAATTCATATAAAAGAAAAAGATATAGACAAGAGTATATTCTTAGAGCTGCTAATCATTCAGGAAGACGAGAAAAAAATTGCCACTTAGATATTTTGGTCAGTTTTAACAGCAGGCACCTGTATCTGGTTTGTAAATATGTTGAATTATAAAATAGTCTGCCTACCCTACTATCATGTCAATATAGTAGGGAAGGCAGACTATTCTATATTTTCACATATTTACATATAACAGATGCATAAACGCACTTTCGGGCCCGTGTTTATTCAAACAAAACACATATCTCTGATACACTACAGTATACATTCAATACAACCCCTAAGTTAGACTGTTACATCACTGAAAGTAGGTTAAGGAACCTTTTTTTTCACATGTTTACATAAAAGATGCAGATGCCTGGGTTTAATTATCACGATGGTCGATACAATCACAAAACACAATCCTACAAACCTTCGTCTGGTTTTTTCTGGTCACGGAGGATATCTAATTCTAAACATCTCATCTGTGTTTCTGTGGACGACATCTTGATACCCACATTAAGAATATATTGCGAGAGACACAGAAGAACAACTCACGTGTTTATGAACCGGATGTTGTAATAAATGTATAGCGTACTACTAAATGCCACACGGGACACTGCGTAAATTGTGGTTAGTTTAAATATCAGAGTTGCCTCCCCTTGCCAGTTTTCCGTCAATACGACAATCGTTTGTAATGAATTACACATTTCATGCCAATAGACACTGTCAATTTATTATAGCTCTTAAAAGACCATGGGCTGTACACATTGATCTTTCCTATCATCCAGCACTTATTTACATGAACGCAAACTTAAAAAAAAAAAGTACTAAACTGATTTTGGTAAACTTTCACACTTGCAAGAGCATTACTGACATATAATTCGTCTTACGAAGCAACACCATGTTTTTACCCGGCGAAGTTGACGTCTTATCAGGCCCTTTCCCCCTAGTAGATAGTTTTACCTTACTTCGACATGTTAATCGGTCTTTAAAAATGCGCAAAATAAATACATGACAAATACTCCCAAGGTATCCACATACAGTAACAATAAGCTTTTGATTAACTGAAAGAATATAGAGTGTCAAGACAATTACAATTTATTGTTCAAAGGAACAAAAGCGGCATTAAAAATTGCTTGACATCTTTGCTGTATTCAAGAGGTTAAATAATTTCTTACCTGGTAATCTGGTACATAAAAGTCAATCATAGACACTGGCTTTGGAGATAACTCATTGTCTGGCGTTTTAAAAGATCTGTTAACATTAATTTAGCACACTGTCACAGGTTTAAATGTCCGAGAAATTCTGGAGAAACGGGGTCGGAAGTAAAGAGTTTCCAGTGTATATAATGACTGTGGTATTTATGATCCGGAAGACTATGTTTTCACTTTGGTTGAATGATTCTCCTTTTATTCATTTGTCGCATGACATGTGTTCATTAATTTTTTAAACTAAAATAATGTTCAAAATAATCAAAATTCCGTAAAATCATTTGTAATGACAGTGACGTATACACTTTATATGTCTCTGGTAATGACAACCTATCTTTTTCAAGCTTTCGGTTAAAACTTACTTTTTGGGAAACAACTTCTGATGATTTACTGAATTACCTGTATGGCGATTAAAGTAAACTGGTTTCATCATTGAGAATTTGATGAAATATAGAAATCAAAATATGAGGAAATTGTTTCAACTTATTACATTATAATAAGTATTAATCTTAGATTTCAGTAAATGGAAATTAACTTGTATATGATTGACGATATTATGAACAAATAACATTGAAATAACTTAATGTGATGTATGCAACGGTGTCAGTTCCATAACTACAAAATACAGGGGTCTTAGCAACGTTGTCAGTTCAAAAACTACAAAATACAGGGGTCTAAGCAACGGTGTCAGTTCAAAAACTACAAAATACAGGGGTCTAAGTGCTGATCCTTTAGGTAGCCCATCATCGACTACCTAAAAATTGTCTCCGCAGTAATTCAATAAGTATACTCATACACAAGGGTCTAAGTGGTGATCCCTGAGGTAGCCCATCATCGATATATAGAGGATCTGACACGAGTGTTCATGTAATATTGAATTTATTGAACGAGTTTATAAATTTCAAATGAAATTAATAAACGAGTTTAATAAATTCAATATTACATGAACACTCGTGTTAGATTCTATTTGTTGTATACTTCGAGAAACACTCTTTTTCTTGACACGTCTCCTCTATATAAATTGTACCTATGGCTGACGAAAGGACGCATTACATGCATTTGTTTGGAGCTCGCTGCGCCACAAAAATAGTGTCAGAAACTTCTTCCCGAGAACATTTTCACTGAACAAACAATCATTTAGGTTTTTCTTCATCAACCAATGTTTTAATAATTATCATAACAACATTAATAATCATTTTTGATACGAAAACTATTCAACGAATTGGCGTTTACGAAAATAGCAGTGACGTCAAATATGTGTTTATATACTATTGAATTTATTAAACTCGTTTGTTAATTTTATTCTCCCAGTGCCCCTGCCTCTGCTATCAATGCAAACAGTAACTCGGTCAGCCATTTTGTTTACAAACGAAGAAGTTGTAGTGCGTAGGAATATGACCTGTTTCCCACGTTGACAAGGCTAATTTGCATGTTTATTATACGTGTGCTATATCGTTTTTATTGAACGGAAATAGCCTGTATTATATAACAAGAGATCCCAAAG